TTTAATTTATATTATAATTATTTTAATTTATTGATGTGAGCCGCCCCGAGGCTTCGGTGAATGGGGCGGCATAAAAATGTTTTAATAAATAAATAAATAAATAAATAAATGCCTGGCTCAAGATCAGTGACAACCTCATCGTGGTTATCAGGGTCATTAAGCTCTTTCTTGTACAATTCTGTGTAATCTTGCCACCTCTTCTTAATTTCTTCTGCCTCTGTTAGGTCCTTGTCATTTTAGTCCTTTATCATGCCCATCTTTGCATGAAACATTCCCTTTATATCTCCAATTTTGTTGAAGAGATCTCTGGTCCTCCCTGTTCGATTGTTTTCTTCTATTTCTTTGCACTGTTCATTTAAGAAGGCATTCTTATCTCTTCTAGCTATTCTCTGGAATTCTGCATTCAATTGGGTGTATCTTTCACTTTCTTCCTTTCCTTTCATTTCACTTCCCTTCTTTCCTCAGTTATCTGTTATGCTTCCTCAGAAAGCCATTTTGCTTTCTTGCTTTTCTTTGGGGTGGCTTTAGTTTCTACCTCTTGTGCAGTGTTGCGAACCTCCACCCATAGTCCTTCAGGCACTTTGTCTATCAGACATAATTCCTTAAATCTGTTGATTGCCCCTTCTCTACATTCATCAGAAATATGATTTAGGTCATACATGAGCAGCCTAGTGCTTTTCCCTACTTTTTTCAATTTAGGCTTATATTTTGCAACAATAAGCTCATGATCAGAGCCTCAGTCAGCTCCTTGTTTTGTTTTTACTAACTGTATAGAGCTGCTCCATCTTTGGCTGCAGAACACATAGTCAATCTGATTTCTGTGTTGACCATATGGTGAGGTCCATGCATAGAGTCGTCTCTTGGATTGTTGGAAAAGTTTTTCCTATTACCAGTTTGTTCTCTTTAGAAAATTCTACCAGCATGTGACCTGCTTCCCTTTCTACTCCAAGGCCATGCTTGCCTGTTTTTCCAGTTATCTTTTGGCTTCCTACTTTAGCATTCCAATCCCTCATGATGATAAGGACATCATTTTTTGGTGTTATTTCCAGAAGGTGCTGTAAGCCTTCATTGAATTTGTCAACCTCAACTGCTTCAGCATTAGTGGTTACAACATAGACTTTGACTACTTTGATTTTGAATGGTGTGCCTTCGATTCGAACTGAGGTCATTCTGTCATTTTGAAGATTCTATCCCAGTACTGTGTTT